GGGCTGAGGAGGAGTGGTGGTAACTCGTTAGGTTGGTGGTACTAGCTATGTTTTTCTGATTAACAGATGCCCCCTGGTGTGGTCACTGTAAGCAGCTGGCTCCTATCTGGGACAAGCTGGGAGAGACCTACAGGGACCATGAGAGCATTGTCATTGCCAAGATGGATTCGACAGCCAATGAAGTAGAGGCAGTGAAAATCCACAGCTTCCCAACACTCAAGTTCTTCCCTGCAGGCTCTGGCAGAAATGTAAGAAGGCAGCTGATGTTTATACAGATTGCCTAACGAGGGAGCACTAGAAATGCTTAGTTGGCTGCTTGAGTTCTGAGAAGGCCTTTGGGAGGGCTCTCCATTCTGTAGGGATGGAACACACCAAGTCTACAGGACATCTGAGACCCTTTGTGGGGGACTGGGCTGTAGGAAAGAGTTTGGTCAGGGGTGGGAAGTGGGGATGGGGAAAAGAGGGAGCATAGCAGAGGATGGTGTGCTCATCTGCAGGCTATTCTTTCCTCGCAGTGATCTCTGAAGTCTAGTGGCTGAGCTGTTTTCCTTCGTCTCATATGGGTGAAGGTGAATTTTTAAATTCCCTTTTGCTTGGCATGTTAACTGTTGCTCAGAAAGAGAATTCTCCTCTCCAGGGGTGTGGTTCTGTAGGTGCCCATAACCATTATCTTGACATTTTTTCCTGTGTAGGTAATTGACTATAATGGAGAAAGGACACTAGAAGGCTTCAAAAAATTCTTGGAGAGCGGAGGTCAGGATGGGGCAGCAGCTGATGATGTGAGTAATATTAACACAGTACTCTAGGCCTTCAGAATACAGAGCATGGGTCAGATCTGGTGCTGAGCTTCACTCTGCAGTCCTAAAGATCCTGGGTTGTTAATGTGGCAGGAAAGGATATTGTTGGTGAACAAAAGTGCCCACATCATAAAATGTGACCTGTTCAGTTGCAGCCTGGCTGGCCATTGGACTCCTTTTATTGAGAGCACTTCAGCTGGGTGTGAAATAAATGTTCTTGGGAGGCTTAAACACAAATGCATGGAAACTGTTGATATTATAACCTCTGAATTTGCACAAGCTGTCTCTGGTTGTCGTGCAAACTGCTGGAGTACTTGGAGGGCTTGTTCTTTATTGAGAACTCCTGCTCAGCACCTGGAACTTGAGCAGTATGATGAACATTACATATGCAGTATATCTAGTTGGATGCTCCTCACCTGCTGGGGTGGAGGGTGTTACAGGTGCAGGTGCTAGCTTTCAGGGGTTTCTAATCCTTAATGTCCCAAATTCAGAGCTCTTGGTAGAAGTCTCTGGATGTTTTGTTAGTTGTGGCAGCAGAGAACAGTGAACACACTAGAGATGCTGTTCTGTGCTTGGTTTTGGATCTGCCTAATGTGCCAGAAACCAGTAGCTGTCTTGGTAACCTATACAGGATCTGGAGGACCTGGAAACGGATGAAGAAACAGACCTTGAGGAAGGTGATGATGATGAGCAGAAAACCCAAAAGGATGAATTGTAAAGAGAAGACTGATCTACATCACCCAAAAAATCAGACACTAAATTGGCTGCTGTTATGCAGCCCAGTGAGTCAGAAACCCATTAAGATTTAAAGCAGAAGGTGAATGACTGGAAATCCAGGGATTGGCTTTTAAAGTAACACTTTACCCTCTTTACCCTGACTGTCTTTTCTTTCTTTTCGCTTTTGAGAAGGGATCTGTCACTAGGTAGCCAGCCCAGCCAGCTGGGCTCATTTTTTTTATTGTGATGTACTTTTTTTGTACACAGCTTTTGTTTGAAGTATTCTGTTCTTCTGGGTAGAAGCAGATTGTGAAGTGGTAGCATGAGTTCAAATGGCCCAACATTCTGGAGCCTTGCCTCTAACATCTTCCAAGAAAGCTTTTTTCCCTTTTTTCTTTTAAAACTAAAGCCCATAGTTGATTTCTGCACCTGGCAGGGTCCTTAATGGTCTCAGCTGTTCTTCCCTGGAATCAGCCTTCAGTATTTTAGGGGAAGAGGCAGAAGGCTGATGGCATCATCCTGGTGTGAAGGTGTATATGAAGGTGCTTCTCTTTATGCTGGCCAGATGTTTCCTTTCCCCTCTGCTTTAAGACACTTGGAGATGACTATTCCAAACACCTGGAAGGGTGGAATACTGTGTGCACTGGCTGTGGCAGGCTCTGAGGGTGGAGGTGGTCACTGGCTCACCAGCTTAGACAAGACCTAGCTGTGTTGCCATCCTTTTGATCAAATGCAAGACTGTTTTGCAATCACTTTCCATGCATTATTTTGAATGGGTTGACCAGGCAGGTGGGTGGTGTGGGAGGGCCTGATAAAATAGATCAAACAGGACATTTGCAATTACAGGGTTTTGGGGAGGAACTTGAACAGAGGAGTGCCTCAAAGGCCTGAGCTGCATCAGGCTGGTTCTTAGCATTCCGCTACAATAATATTGGAACTGAATTTGTTGGCCAAATAAAGTTGAGATTTTAATACTATTATGTCTCTTTGTGTTTGTCAGACTATAGCATGAATATATTTGAACGTGACCTGAAAGAGGATTAGAATTCTAGGGTGATTCTCAAGGGACTCTGCCAAAATGGTGTGTGTTTGTCAGCTTTCTCAAACTTTCACTAAATACCACATTTTTTGAGAGAAACTGTTTTCTGAATGCTTCCAGTTTTGCAGGTGGCTTCTGGTACCTTAACCTGAAGAAATTTGTATTGTGTAATCTATAAAGGAAAAGAACTTCAAGATGACCATGTCATGTCCGGATGAAATCAGCTTGTGCAGGCAGACAACTAACAGCTCCTTTAGCAGTGAGCGGACATTGGCTTAGGCTCTGAGAGTACGCAGCTCCGCTTGCCAGCTGGCCTGAGGTGAGAGGACCTCATGGCTCTCGAGCAGTTAACCAAGGAATTTGCCTGCAGGGAAACCTGGGGCTGCCTGTGGTGCTGCTAGTCAGGCTCACATGATCCAGTGAGCTACATTGCTATTTCCAAACCAGTCACTTACGCTGAAAATATTTTTGTAAGAAAATATGCTATAAATGTCACATGTGAGGGCACGGTGAAGCTAGAGGGCAACTCGGCAGGCTACTGGTGCCTGTCACTGAACGTGGGTTCACTGGGGTGGTAGAACAGAAGCACTGTACAACACTTGTCTGCAGCTCCAGCCTCCTCCTGTGGTTCCCCTGGGAACAGAGCCCCTGCCAAGGCCTGGTGTGGTGTGCACAAACCTTTGGCACAGCAGCACCAGGGCTGGGGCCGAACAGGCAATCGCTGACCGTGGGATCAGAAAACAGTGTCTCCTACTGCCTGTTCTGTTAGCAATCAGTTGTTTGACTTACCTGTGGTTATGTGGAGAACGATCTTTGAAGATGCCTCCTGCTAGGCCTGTGACCTCGCGTGTCTGAAGGCAGGGGACTTGTTCTTAGCGTAGCCCTGCTGCCATTGCCATACCCCAACAGAGCAGGCAGTGCTGGTGGCCGGTGTCAGGGCTGGTTCCTGGTAGCTGCTTCTGAGGAAGAAAGCTGCCTTGTGTTTCGGGGTGGGGAGGAGGAGAGCACTGCTAGTAAGAAGTTCCACTGGTAGGTGCTGGCCAGGACTTGGCTCAGAAAGGTCTGTTTGTGGAGCCAGTTAAAGTGTGAACAGGGCTGAGCTTTGCAGTGGTTCTCTGTTTATGGTCTGAGACCTGCCTTGCTCAGCTCAGAGGAGGGGGGCTTTTCTCATACACCAAGGCTGCTCTCGGCAGAGCAGGACTCCATCAGAGTCATCTTGTGTACACAGCTAATTGCTGTTCCAAGAAAGCAAGCTAAAAGCATTGTTTCCCCAGCAGACAGCTCAGCCTCCTATTCCACAGTCTTCTGTCTGATGTACCGCTGAGCAGAGATGCTCAGTAAAAAGAGTGCGTTTGCCAGAACTGAACAAGTGCAGCAGGCAGTTTTCAGGTGGGTGGCTGACTGAGCTGTCAGCCTCACTGCTGGCAGGGGTTCAGGACAAGGGTCTGCTGCAGAAGGGGCAGAATGAAACCTCTGCGACTCCTAACGCGGGACAGGGATTTTTCCTGACGCACCGCAGGGGAGTTCATTGTCCTGCCTGGACAATCTCCATCAGCACAAAACAGAGCACAACACGCTCGTGTATCTGAAATGACCAAACTTTGATGGGGCAAAGGATGGAGGAGCAGTTGTTGCTTGAACCCGTGGCAGATCTGAAAGATTCCTCTGTGGTAAATGGTCCATTTTGGGCCTTCGACAGCTACAGCTGGAGGGTAATAAATGCAGGAATTGTCTGGTGGTGGTGCTATTCTTCAGCTATTCTTCTGAGGTTGTTCTGTAGAAGCCTGCCCTTACGTAGCAGCTGGTTCTGAGTTTGAAGTAGGATATTGAACACCACGGACTGGCGTTGCAGGCTTCTGGTTCTGCGCCTGCATCAGGAGCACCAGCAGCACCTCTGTCCTCGCAAGGGCACTGATAATATCCAACATGCTGGTGGTGTTCTCCATGCTTAGCTGTACGCTGACTCGCAGGCGTGCTGGGCAGCACAGCTCATCCTGCTCCTTTCAAGTCGTCTGATGCAACTACAGGAGAGTGACTTAGCTCCGAATGTATTTGGCACCGTAGCTCTGACACGTCTGCATTGCGCTGGCTGGTCAGTACATGAGCAGCTGGTTCCCCTCGCTTGGTGATCGTGCTTGTGTCTTTTCTCTGGCACGCGTGCGTGTGTGTGTGTGTGTGAGGGCTTGCTGCTGGGAAGTTCTGTTTTCAGGCCCTTGGGCTCCTTTGAAGGGCTATCCATGCAAAAGCAACAGTAGATTTGACCCTCATATCAACAGGTGGGTGGTAAGATGAGACATCAACTTCTGCCCAAAAGTGGGAGGCTGCGGGCCTGGGCGGCTCGATTACAAAGTATCATGGCAAATAGCATGAGCTGCATGTCCTCAAAATAGCCCGCGGGAGCCTATATAACGCGATGCCCCTGGAGAACCATCAGTCCTGGGCCAAGGGCCTGCGGGTGACCTGCGTGTGCCCAGTGCCACCTCCTGCATGCGGCATGAGAGTGTGGGGAGAGCCTGGCGGCCGCCGCTTCCCTGCCAGCAAGGGGGACTCGCACACTCACTCGGAGAGAGCGCAGCGGTGCGGGTGCCATCACACCTCCGTAGCAAGGAGGGACCTGAGGGGGAGAAGAGGAGAAAGCAGTGCTTCAAGGCTAGCGAGTGGTAGGGCCGAGCACTGAGCAACTCCGGCTGCTCCTACAGCCTCCATGCCTCTGCTCCTCTTCCTCTGCAGCGTCTGAAGGCTGCGATCAGCATGAAGGACTATTACCCAGTCTCAATGCCCCGGTACAGTCGGTACGCCCAGAGACTGAAAGCCTCACGCACTGTGCGCTTCCCCAATGACGTCGTCTTTCAGGACCACATCAGGCAGGGGGACCTGGAGCAGGTGGGCAGATTCATACGTGCCAGGAAGGTGACGCTGGACACCATCTACCCTTCTGGTGAGTGCTGCCGGGGTTGGCAGAGCCGGAATCTGCGCAGCGGCGCGGCTCAGCTGGGCTGCGAAGGAGACGAGAGCGAGCCGTGCAGCCAAAGCTAGGATGTGGGCCGCCTTCAGCAGGGTGGCAGGTTGGAATCGAGTCGTTTTCCTCCCTAGTGAGGAGTACCACCCCCAACACCGCCAAGCAGGGCCCAAGAGAACCCCATGTCAGTGCCCCAACATCTCCCCTCAACAGCGTGGTCAGCGCACGCTGTGGGAGGCGGGGAGGTTTACCCCTGGGTCCCTTCAAGGCATGATGGTGCACCTGCGGTGTGGTGGGACCTAGAAAAGGAGCCGTGAGCACAGGCTGATCCGTGGAGCTCTGGACGGGATGGTGGGGCTCCTGCCTTCCGCCCCGGCTTGGGGAAAGAGCAGGGAGAAGCAAGGCTCTGCATTTTATTCCTGTCTCTGTCCATTTCTCACGAACACTGTTCTTTCTCGCACGTGTGGACCTGTGGACTTGTAGCATTTATGTGGGGAAGGTATTGTGCTATGTTTGCACCCAACCTCACTAGCCACTGTTTATGGAATGTCTTGATCTGTACTGGCTGGTGCAGAGCTCAGATTTGTCCCTTTCTCGGGCTTTGGCTTCAGCTTCTGCTGTCACACGGCCACGGAGACAGGGTCTCAAACGGCCCCGGACTTCCTCCTATCTATACTGATTGCTTCATTACTTGCTCTGTAAGGAGCTTCCAAAACTTGGACAGAGCAGGACCCTGGAAACACTCTTCTCGTGTCCCCATGTGAGTCCTGGCCAAGACTCGGGGCAGGCCACTGGTCGGGAGCTCTGCAGGAGAGGGCAGCTCCCTCCTCCCTTCACCTGTCCTGCCTGGCCCAGTGGGGAGGTGGGTGCTACGCCACCTTAGAGAGAGAGGGTATTTATGCTGTAGAAGGGGAACAGAAACCTGTGGCAGCTCCTCTTGCTTCCTCAGTCTTTGTTTCTTTCCCCAAACTCATCTCCCTGATAATGAGGGTTTGCTGGCACCCCTCTTTCCTGGGCTGTGGACAACTCGCACTTGTAAGCTCAGCATTTAAAGGCTTCTCCCCCAGTCCAGGGCTAACAAATCCTTTCCTTCTAGGCATGGCAGCCCTCCACGAAGCTGTGCTTACTGGAAACCTGGACTGTGTCAAGCTCCTGGTTAAATACGGCGCCGACATCCACCAGAAGGATGAGAATGGGTGGACGCCCCTGCACATGGCCTGCAGCGATGGCTATGCCGATATAGCCAGGTGAGGCGCACCTCGCCTGGGCTGTGACGGGACACCCCTGCATTGCAGAGCCCCGAGAACCATAGCCGGCAGCGCCGGGGCTGGACCGGGCCCTGGGCGTCTCCTCCTACGAGGGCGCCTGGTACCTGCGGCACATGCGGGACTGCCTGGGCCTTAAAGCTCCCTGCGACTGCGCCCGGGCATCA